GGTCTGATGACTTAACCTGGATAAAAAAACTAGTCTGCTGTTTTCAATCCCAGTAAGAAACAGTAAGTAAACTATAGTCCCTATATTATACTCACTGCCCGCCTTTCCTTTTCTCATCCTTTTAAATGCTACACCACTGAAGACAGTGATAGGAAAGGGTGCTTTCCGTCTGATGTTTTAAACCTGATGTCTCAGGGAAAAGAGTATCATCATCAGAATAGCTAGGGTAGACGTGTACTTTCTTCCTTTATCACCTACTCATCTGTCTCAAAGCCACGTCTTTGCTTTGGAGAGTGGATAATCCTCCTAGAGTCTTGGATATACATTTTTTCTCTTCTGTGTTTTAATATTTCATTAGGAAATACTACTTACATAAATTGTCTTTATTCAAATAATTAGTGTAATAATGTCTTAGTCTTGATATTGTGGTCTGCTACAGGATGAATGGGGAAGGTCAGATTGTATTATCCACCCTAACCTGATGCGCCTACCACCACATTTATCAAGCCTGCAATTAATTATGTGTATGACTTTTGAAAGTTTCTTTCCTTTTCGATGCTTCTATTTCCTATCTACAAAATAAAGCACAGAACTATATCAGGGTAGCAAATAGGTTTAATCTCTTATGTCAACTCCAGTTAATCAGGAGTGGGAAAACATATTCTTAAGAATTTCTGAGGCCTTCTCTGGGCTGTGCAGATAAGTTTGCCATGATCTATTAGCAGTGTCTACAATGAATAGAGAGGCTGATGGCAGCTATTCTGAAATTTGCCAGACCCAGACTTAATGCTCTTCAAGCCCCTTCAGGGCTCCTCAGTCCTCTGATTCTTCTTCTGGTTTTTCTTGATGAGCTTTGTAGGTGGGTGCCATCCTGTCCATCTAAATGAATATTCAGTGTCATTGGAGTGAAAAGCAGGTGTGGAAAGTTCACTCAAGAATCTAAAACAAGGCTTGGTGCCTGTAGCTCAGCAACTAGAGTGCCAGCCACATACACTAGAGCTGGCAGGTTCGAATCCAGCCCAGGCCTGCCAAACAGCAACTATAACCAAAAAGTAGCCTGTGGTCTCAGCTACTTGGGAGGCTGAGGCAAGAGAATTGCTTAAGCCCAAGAGTTGGAGGTTGCTGTCAGCTATGACACCATAGCACTCTACCAAGGGTGACACAGTAAGACTCAGTCTCAAACAAACAAAAGAATCTAAAAGAGATTATGGTCAATAGAAATAAATAAAAATAAAAATTTAAAAAAATCTAAAAGGGGGGTGATTTATTAATGAAGGAATTTCTCTGAATGGAGTAAGGGTATCTTTGAGACCTCATTATAATTTTTCATTTAAAAAAACACTTTAATCAAAAGGGCAAACAGGACGGTTCTCTGAAGTCATGCATGATCCGGCAATGCCATAGAAGGCTGGAATATCATCGTTGTGAGGTTTCCATCAATAGCACTTAGCAATGGATGTGGTGATGTACTTTTTACCAAACTGGAAACAGCAATACTCTGACCTTCAATAGAAAGTTATAAATTTTTAAGTTACTGTTTAATTAAGTGAATGTGTGCTGCAGAGAGATTAATTTAGAAGTTGATTTAGCCACTTCCTTTGATATTCAGGATCTAAAGACAAAGACAGCATGTTTTTGTCTAAACTGTCTAACTTGAGCAGTGAGATTTGATTTTCATGAACCTTGCAGAAGAAATTCACGTGGAAATCACTAGTTTCCATTCTTGTAAGGAACAGTGGAAAAATAAAACACCCAGGTATCCTGGCATTTTATACTTTGGTAAGATTCTTCCTGCAGGGCCGGGGATATTTGTCTAGATTGTAAAAGCTTTGCAGATATAGATTTGGAACTAGATAATCTTTCAACAGAACCTCTATGGCAAAGGATAATCTTTATTCTCTCTCCTAATATGCTCTACTGGAACAACAATAGTATCTGTTTGTGAACTTGTGATCTCTGGCAAAGCAAAAATCACCAATCTATACCCATATCATTCTACTAAATATGATGAAAAAACTAACTCTATGTTAGGTGGTTTTCTCAGAAACAATGAGTACCATACGTGACTTGTGTTCACAGTATACCCTCAGCAAGTCTCTGTGATGGAAGGACATTTCTATGAGGGAATCTATGAATATGACAGCAGCAATAAACAGCTGAAAATAATCTATGAGGCGTTTGCAAATTACCCCTCATGAGCTGTAGTCATTGTGAAAGATAATTTGTGGTTCTCGCAGAATACCCTGCAAATTGGGTCTTTCATCTGCAATGCTTTTTTTACAGTTAAAACATTTCATTTCTCATATTAACAAATGATAACTCTGCCTTTGCTAATCTAAACAATTCGATTTATCTTTTTTTTCTGGGCTGGAAAGCTGTTGACATTTCAGGGTAAGTAATTATTTTCAGTGCCAACTGCTGTTTGTAGTGACTGTAGGCAAAAGATAGAAATCCGTTCAGACTGATCGTTTTCCTTAAAGGCTACCTATAAAGCAGGAAGTCTTTTTACCTGAGTTATCATCTATACTTAGAAATCTAATACAGAGGTGTTGACAAGTGAGGATTTTAGTCATGTTCAGGGCTTTCTGTGGTATACTGGTCATGTAATCCCTGTGGGCAGGGGGACAGGGTTGACCTGCATTGTCACCACCCTCTGGCAGGGCACAGAGCAGTCTTAAATCACCACAGTTAGAGGAAACACACATTCTTGGCCTCATCGTTCCCAGCTAATGCAATATCTGGCCAAGCATCCCATGCAGTAGGTGTCAGGATTACATGATAAATACTCCTGAGAACACCTTGCACCATGCCCGGTACATAGCGCAAGCTCTGGAAATATTTGGTGGAATTGGTATGAGGTATAAAAATACATAAATTTCCTTTCTCGTATTGCTTTCTCAAGCAAGGACTCTTAGTCCAGGAAAGAAAGTTCTGTTTCACCTAGAAAGTAGTTGCTTCATCCTTAGAGAGGATGCTCAGCCTTGCCCTCTGAAGTGGCACAGGTGACAGAGCAGTGAGGAGGTGCCAGGGTCTGGGGCTGAGCGGATGCAGCAGCAGGCTTTTCCGGGGGTCTTTTTATGATCTACACTTTAATGTATCTGGGTTTATTTTAATAGGGGAAAAAAAAACCCTTACCATCAAAGTTTAAAAAGTTTCCTCTCCCCCCCAGAAAAATCATCTAATAAAATTGCTGCTCCAAAAAGATGGGCCACCTTTAGCCTGTGGGGGGGTAGGGCCGACACTAGTTATGCAGCACTGTGGGCCGGTGCAGATTTCTCTGTGAAGATCAGAGGTGCACTAGTGTGAGACCTGCATGGTATGGTGTGGTAGGTTCACCTGTCTGTTTCTCCCTATAGCCTCTTTGCCCTGTTGGGCACAGCTTACATTCCATCTGTCCTATATTCATGTGAACTTTCCATTCACTTTCTAGTTAAAGATTGGACTACTGCTTTAGGATCAAAACCAAATTTACATGGCCTGAAGAAGAGAATATAGAGCCAGTACCCTGAATGGCAAATGTGTTTTATCCTTTGAACCCACTCCAGTTGATTAGTTCTGGTTGCCTACAGTGCTGTCTTAAGGCATCTGTGTTGCTCAGCTGGGAGGAGTGCTGGGATTGATTAGCGATGTCTGTCACAGCCTCTGGATGGACAGCGTGCCCTATATTTGCCATTCTGTGTTTTTAACATGTCCACAACTCCTCTGTGCAATCTTCCTGTGTAAAATAATTTAACACTAACAGGTGACTAAGTATGAGCCAGGGCCTATCTGTGAGAACAGGTAGATTCCACTTTAAGAAAACCTAGCATGAGAAAATGCCAATTTACAAAAATGCATAAATCTGGAGCCAATTATTTCCATTACAGAAAGATTCCACGAAAGGTTCCTTTAAATAGCCAGCTCCCCTACTGCATTAAAATGATGATTCAATTTACAAAAATTCACTTTGCATGCAACTCTTCAAGACCATGTCTATGGAGTAAAGCCAGCCACACCTGATTTTTTTAAACCACGGCCTAAATAATGTTCAGGATGGCTGCGCCACCTATCTCGAGTCTCTGGGTAATTCCCAGTCTCTGCAGGCTTCCTGCTCCTTTCTTCCTATCCCAGAGTGTTGAGTAGACAATCTGGGTGGTGGTCAGCAGCTGCTGGCTTGCACCCTGACACGGCTGCATTTCATTAGTGGGTAAACTGATTGCTCCAAGGATGTTTATGTGTGGGTGTGGTTGTACAAGTCTGTGCGTTCTGTCTGTAGATACAGATACACAAAAGTCATTATCTCGCTCTCAGCCCAACCTAAATTCATTCCTGCTGTGAGAGTTATAAATGGAAGGTTCCAATCCCTTGGTGGATATAGCCTTTTGGTAATATCTTCCCCGAATTCTGGCTCCCCATCCTCTTTGTGTTTGTTTATATGTTATTTACCCTCACATCAGAAAACTTCCCCAGACTCTGGGCCTGAGTCCCATTATCCAGACATGGAACCCTCCTCTTCCTCTGCGGCCTAGAAGGCCCCAAATGGTTTTCTGATTTAGAAAATTAAATATATCTGACTCTTGTGGCAAGCTACAAAATTCCCAACCAAAAGATGCTCCCATTAAACATATAACATATACAACATCTAAAAGTATCACCAATCTAGCATGAACTTGAATTACAGAAGCATTCGGTGCCCCTCAGGTAAGTTCACCAGCCTTTTCCCAGGCACTCAAACTTGGGCAGCTTTCCAGCGGACCATAAAGCTCCCAGGAATGCTGACTGGCTCATGTGTTTGAATTTCCATTGCTCTGTGAAAGCAACTTAATCTGGGGATAAGTACCTGAAAGAGATGGTCTCTTCCCTGTCTCTGTGTATGGTCTCCCCACCTCCTAGACAAAATCATTGCAATACCCTCTCAGGCCCAGAGCATAAGTATCATCTCTGTTCATCTAAGATATCTTAAAAATCACAACATAAATTTATTCCCAGAAATATTTTTTTTTTACAGTTATGCCTTTTTTTCTTTGGAAAAAATTAAAACGAGACAGACACAGCAATCACATCAGTCCTACTCAGACACTTTTTCTGGCCCACAGTGATCTGTGGTGTTTGAGTAGAAAGCTCTCAGGCTGGTGCGCTGCCAAATAGCTCTTTTCCTTCTGCCTTCCCAGGCTCATTGGTTTGAGCCAAGCGTCCCCGGTGGTATTGGGCTGTAATTGCCGCATAGGTGCAGCCGTAGATAGCAGCGACCAACATCATGAGACACAGGACCCCACACACAACCCCAGTGATGATGACGGTGGCAACAGCATGACGCAGGTTGGCCGGCCTCGGCTTGGGTTTGAACTCACACTCTGAGAGGTCTCGTTCCCCTAAGCTGTGGTTTTCATGGGGCCTCGGGGCTGCCCCATGGGCAGAACTGGGCTGCTGAGTCTGCGAGGACCCCAGATCAGGAGCAGAAGGAGGGCAGGGCTGGTAGAGCTCATGAGGGATTGTGAGGAGGTCCTTTCCCTTCCAGGTGTCTGGTGACCTACAGATGACGCCATCTGTTATTCCGCCTTTGAAAAACAAAAGCAAAAGATGATAAGGAAGCCTTGACACAACTGAGTTCCAAAATCCTAAATTCTGCAAAAACTTAGGCAGAGGGAATTTATGAACTACTTTTTTTCCCCCCAGAGTCAAAGAATTTAACAACCATATTTTATGATTTTAGGATTTTCTAAATTGGCTAAATGCTAAAAATGCCACACACTAAATTGGCAATTACTTGCGACCAAGAATTCATTAGAAGCCAAGTTACCTTTACTAACGCTATATAAATGCTGCAGGGGAAACAATGCAAAAGCTGATGAGAAGAAGCACTGTGGGCCCACAGCAAGGGCACCGTTGCCCACGGCGTTCCTGTCCCGCGCTCCCCTAACGAGCCCCATCAGACAAAAAATCTTTTGTGCCTGAGCCCCACTGGAAATCAAAGAAAAAATAAAACAAATGTCCATTGTTGTGATGTTATGTGTTAATTGCAAAGACCCTGTGTGTGGACCAATACTATTCAGTGATGCCATATGGAGAGGTAGAAGGGTCTTTAGACATTTTGTGTATCCAAGGACTTGACAGCACTGTTAGTTTAGTTCATGCGATTAAGTATAATTAACGCGTCTCCTCAGGCCTTGAAACATTTACTACTTTGAGTACCCAACTTTCCAATGGGTTATTAAACCCAGTTTCCATTCCCTGTAAAGTGATTGATTTTTTTCAGGTGAGTGGATGACTATAGTTGAGGGGGGAGAGAGGGAGATCTAGATGATCAGTAATTTTTTTTTTTTTGAGACAGAGTCTTACTTTGTCACCCTCAGTAGACTGCCATGGTGTCACAGCTCACAGCAACCTCCAACTGTGGGGCTAAAGCAATTCTCTTGCCTCAGCCTCCCGAGTAGCTGGGACAACAGTGCCCGCTACAACACCCAGCTGTTTGTTGTTGCAATTCTCATTGCTGTTTTAGCTGGCCAGGACTGGGCTTGAACCGCCACCCTTGGTATATGGGGCTGGTGCCCTACCCACTGAGCCACAGGTGCCACCCAGATCAGTAATTTTTTTCTAGAAGGAGCACCAGACTAATGGGCTTTATTTTAGCCTACTTTGATCACTGATTTACTATTTTACTTTGGGGAAATAAACTTCTCTGAGTTTTTGGCTATGAAAATATATACCTAGCCCTCTCTGCCCAATCTCAGTTTTCCCACTACATTCACTGTTTCTCTACTTCTTCCTCCCTGAAGTGTCCTGAGGTCTAGGGAGCAGGCAGGGTGGCCCTTGGAGTGTTAGCTGGAAAGCCCTGTGATGGGGCAGAGCTACCTCATGGCCTCTGTCTCACTTCTCTGGGCCTGTCATTAAGACCTCCCCCAGGACAGCTGCCAACCCAGGCATTACTCTTAACAAAGTTAGGTTGGAGACTCTTAGTACACACAATAGGTAAATTAAGATATGAGACCAGAAAGACACTCACAGAGGTTGTCACTTCAACATTAGCCCCTTCTGTGGGATAGAATGTTGGAGTTTGGGTAATGCTTTCCCATTTATCCTATGTAAGTCTCATAAGACAAGTAAGTCCTAAGTGGCCCTGTAAGTAGGGGGCCAACCTGCTGTGTAAGGATTATCATGTGGCCCAGATACACCAGAGTTAGTGGCATGGTAAAATTCAACCTTTGCCCTTTTTGCTACCACTGAATCACCCACGACCTGAGTCTCTTGGGCCACTCCTCCCTTCTTAGGCAATACCTGGAGGTGAGAGTCTCAATACTAAAGCAACTTAACCAACAACAACAATGAAAAAAACGTTTGGCCTTTTCTGAGCCTCTGATTTTCTTGAGGCCAGTGGTGTGGAGCAGCTGCTCCTAGTGAGCCCACCATGTCATTGAGCTGTTCTGAGACTAAAGATCCTTGCTTCAAGGACCATTTCATTCCTCTGTACCTGGCCATCAGAGCCTTAGCCAGGGAGTTGTTTGCAGAGGCCAGAGAGACAGAAGTGAAGCAAGGGGCTTTGAGAAGTAGGAACAATATTGAACCTAGCCAAAGAACACTAACACTTTCACCAGGGGAAGAAAAGCCACCTGCTGTGGGACAGACAGCTTCATCCCTAACTTTTACCTAGACTGGGGATGGTTTATATAATCACTCCAGGCTTAAGCACTGTCTTTCTCTAGTTACAAACTTCCCCCCATATTAGAGTCAGAGCCATAGCCTTGGGACCCAGAGCCAAGGAAATCGCCAGGCTAGAGTCAGGGACATGGCTGGAAGGCAGGGGCTGCAGCTACTGAGAGCTCCGTATCCTATGCAGCTCTTCCTCAGCCAGGGCTCACCTCTGACCTCTCCACAACAGTCTCACAGGCCACTATGTCCTAGGCAAACCTGCTGCTTAAAGCGATAGGGTGCCACTCCCTTCTAGATTTGTGTACACAGACAGGACAGAGGCTCCAGCTTGCCAAGGCTCGTTGCTCTCTGAACACTAGTAGCTCTTAATCTCTATTTGGGGAAAAACTGGATTGAAATCTGGAGCCTGCACTTTACTTAGCTGTGCAGTTCTGGAAAGCTCCTGGGCCACACTGTGCCTCTGCTTCTCATCTGGAAAGTGGGAGACAGGGAAATAATGAAAGTTAACTTCCCAAGATTGCTCTAGGAACTCATCTGGATCAAGTAGAGCAAGTATTTAGCATACCACCTAGCCCAGAGGAGATGTGTAATAAAGTTAGCCCTTAGCATGGAGATGATTTGTTTACTTATAAAGAGAGAAAGAGAGGAATAATTATAAAAGCTATGGGCATGTTTTTTGTGGAGGAGATATTATTATACATTCACCAAAGCACATTGTTGGAGAAGGCCCACAGGAAGACTAAATTTTTCCAGTTTGGGGGGTCAGTTACAGGTCATGTGACTGAATTCTGGCCAGTTAAACCAATTCATTACACTTTGAGGCTCAAAACCCCTGATGGAATCCTCCATGAATTTTGTCCATGTTGGTGATGACCTTAGAGACCACAAAGTGAACTTGGTGGCATCACAAGCCAGAAGGGGCTTATATCCCTGAAGAACTGCACAGAATGCAGACCTGCCCACATTGCCCTTGGACTCTGACAGGAATGGTCAACAGATTTCTGCTGCATATGTAACAGAGGTCTGGAGCTGTCCATTATATCAATTAGCTTCTCCTGTCTAATGGCATTAGGATTTGCATTTGTTTATCTTTTTTTAAAAGAAGAGCTTTACTAATATCAGTTCCCTTACCTTGCCTACATCCAGTAATCTATAATAAAACTGTCACCCATGTTTGGCATCTATTTGAGTTTTTTTCTGGTTATCTTAGAACATCCGGGTCTTGTTACCCCAAATCAATTTTACCTTCCTCTGAAGAAAAGCTGTTAACTGTGCTGCAGCTCTGCCACCAGGGAGCCTTGCACTGCGTCACCAAATCTAGGAACCAGAATGGGCCCCAAGGACCCTTCAGCTTGATTTTCCATGTGGTCACACTGATCTAGTGAGGGGTATTAATTTGGGGAGAACTTTATCCATCCCATGTTGTTTCTAGGGCCCTAGTCCTCGGAACTATTTTTTTTTATTTTATCAAGAAATGTTCTTTTTTAGTGAAAATCATCTTTCTGTGATGGTCTTGGTTTATGCTTTTTATTTAATCCAGAAGACAGTAGCTCAAGCCTCTTCACCTCCAGATGTAAGAGTTTTATTTGCAACCTAGTGTAAGAAATAGGTTGCCACATTCTCTGGCTTCTGTGTAGGGTAATTTGAACATTGGCTGGTTAGTGACATGTTATTTGCTATTACAGCAGAACCTGTAGTGTTGATTGCTTCCCTACAATGATCACCTCCTTAAGTTGACTTAATTTTCATAGACTGGACATGCATGGCATGTGTTAATGTAGTAGGCCTAGTTCCTTATGTTGACCATCTCCTTATGTTGACCAGTCTGTTACAGTCCCTTGGGTGGTCACCTTACAGAGGGTTTACTGTATATGGTTGAGAAAAATTCTTAATTCAATATTGTACATTTGTACCCATGTTGTACCCTAACTCACTGTTCTTGGAGACCTCATATGATCATCCAGACTGTTGACTCCATGGTTTATGTCTATCGTTCTGACATCTTTCTGAGCTATGGTCTTTGATATATAACCTCCTACTTAACTACTCCCTGAGGATATGTAAGGGCCACCTCAGACTTGACATTCACCGACCAAGCTGAAGTCCTGACTGGGCACCCTTCAACTACTTTCTCCCCTCCCCAGTCTGCCCCTTCTCAGCTAAAGGCATCTCCACTTATCTGGTTACCAGAGCAGGACAACTCAAACAGAATTTCCCATAATTATGCTCCCCTTTTTGTTTTCCACCCAACATGTTAGCAATTTCTATCAGTATAGTATTCCAGATATCTCCCCAAATTTGCCTCTTCTCCCTACCCTAGTTTGAGCCTCCATCACCTCTTTGCTGGCCCCCTGAAATCCCCTTCTCCTTCCTTTTAAATTGTGAACAGATCATACCATTCTCCCGATGGAAGCTCGTGAAGAGCTTTCCATCCTAGTTGAAATTAAACGCAGACACCCTGGGCTGCCCTGTACACTGCTGTGTGATGGGACACCTGAGTCCTGTGAGGCCTTGACCACTCCCACTCTCCTCAAGTGGCTAGACACTCTGCTGTCCCTCTTTTTACCCCATAGGCAAGCCGAGCATCCTCCCTCATCAGGCCCTTGGCACCTGCTGTCCTCTCCCCCAGTGCTCTCGTGCTGGCTCCCTTCTCCTCATTATCTACCTCCTGCTCACTTGTGTCGCCTCCATGGTGAGGCCCCCACCGTCTGCCCTATCTAAAATGGGACCCTCAGTCCACCCCTCCCTCACCCCTTCCCCACCTCACTGTCTCCTTAGCACCCACTGTTATTTGAACATGTATCATTATTTAGCACCTTATTTGACATCTGTTTCTGCTACCAGGATGGAACCTCCATGATCATTAGTACTTTCTTGTTTACTGCTCTCCTCTCAGGGCTAGGACAGTGCCTGGCATGTAAAAGGCACTCAGGTATAGGAATGAAGGAATGGTGCTCAGAGTGAGGAGGAGTTAAGAACCGTGACTCAGAGGAAAGAAGGTAAGGCCAAGACAAAAAGCCAGGCCTTTCTTTCTCATCTGGACTTCTACTCGATGACCTTGGGCAATTCACTGAGCCTCTCTGAGCCTCCACTGCCCCTTGATGACAGGTGGTGGCAAACTTTTCTATAAAGATCCAGATAGTAACTGTTGTAATCTTTGCCATACAGTCTCTGTCACTTTGCCCTTACCAGGGAAAGCAGTAGTTCAGTATGTAATGAATGGGGATGTCTGTGTACCAGTAAAATTTTATCTATAAAAATTATAGGTAGGTAGGATTCAGCCCTGGGGCTGAGGTTTGCTCATGGGTGGTTTCGTTCATCTCTAATATTCTGGGGTTGCTTGCTTTGCTTTTGACATCAGGTTAAAGAAATTATCGGTAACTTGGGAGAGAAGCTCTATTGCAGCCCATTTCAGTAACAGTGTTATTTGCTAAAGCAGAAGGGAAGATTTATAGGTGTCAAACAAAGAGAAAAGTATTCTAAAGAAAGATAGCACTGCCTACAGTAGGATTACACTTGAAAATTAGAGTTTGGTGCCAGGAAGGGGTTGCATAGTTTGTTATTTAGGCGGTGATTAAACTTTTTCTTCCTTAAAGGCATATTCTCAGATAAGTAACTTCATGTTGTATTAATTAAATAAATGAAAAGTTATCTCTATGCATCATATCTATAGATGAATTTCAATACGATGAATTTTTAAACACCTTCTAATTACTCATTTGCCTCTTTTACAATACTATGAAATGATAATCAATGTGGAAAAGCTTAAAACCACCACATGCATACTACTAAAAATTCCTTCTAATGCAGAGAGCAGATGAAATTCATCCTGGGCTGGTAACGCACAAAGGGGGGTTTCCAAATAGACACTACTGACCTTTATAGATAAATTTCTCCAGCCAGAGTTTAAGACTGAGCAAGTGGCAATTGCATTTCCAGAGATTGCCCTTGAGAAGTAAAAGCCTCACACTGGGCATAGATTCTAGGAGTGCGCCATCAAGCTGCTGAAGCTGGTTGTGTTGAACTGCAAATACAGTTAGGTTCTCCCAGGGCCCGGCCAGGGATGTGGGAAGGTGGCTTATGTTGTTTGATGACAAATCGAGCTCCCTCAGCTGGGGGAGGGAATGGAAAAGTCTGCTTTCCAGGGAAAGCAAAGAATTCTGGGTTAAATTTAAAACCTGTAAGCGCTGAAGTCCGTTGAAAGCTTGGGGGGCCAGATTTGAAAGGGAATTGTTGGACAAGTTTAAGGTCATGAGCCATGGCACTGACCTAAATGCAAATGCAGGAAGCTGGCGTATCTGGTTGTCTTGTAAGTACAGTGTTCGAGTCTGAGCAGGTAAATCAGAAGGGATTTCAGCCAGACCCTGCTGGCTGCAGTCTACGAAATGTGTAGAGGGGTGACAGCGGCACTTGTCTGGGCATCCGTGGGCCACCTGGAGTAGGACAATCATGCTTGAAAGCACAAACAGTTCACCTATAACAGACAGAAAGAAATAGGGTTAGGAAGCAGTTTGTGAGGAGTATATCTGCATGTTTCCCCATTTCAATTCGCAGGTAATGTGATTCTGAGCCAGGTAACACCTCCTACAACCAGCACTCACCATCCTCGGTAGTGTCAGGCTGGACTGAATACATCCCAGGGTCAACAATTATTGCAGTCTCTGTGCTATTGTTGGAAGACTTGGGAAAGGTCTTTTCTCAATGCCTCAGTAATCAAAAGATGAAAGATTCAGGGTGTCAACTAGGAAAGTGAAAGAAATCTTCTGGGAGCACATGCCCTTTGTAGAATACAGCAGAATTATTTGGGGCCAGATGTGTAGCAAAGTGAGAGGAAATTTCAGATGTGTAGCAAAGTGAGAGGAAATTTCAGATGTTCCTATTTTTTAAAGGTATGCTCCAGAGCAGCACTGTCTAATAGAACTTTTGTAAGATGATGGAAATGTTCTATCTCTGCTGTCTGTACGGGAGCCAAGTAGCCATGCGTGGCTACTAAACTCCTGAAATGTGGCTACTGCAACCAAGGAACCAATGTTTATTTGTATTCAAGTTCATTAAATTTAAATAGGCACGTGTGGCTAACGGTTACTGTATTGCATGGGATGGGCCTAAAACATTCCTGCAAATTCATGTCCATCTTTGCAGGTGTAATTCCTGGCGTGATGATTATCTCTACTGCTTTTTTATTCAAGAGATTTTTAAAATGCAGAAAACACTAACGATAGTATAATAAGCACACATGTGCCAATAACACTTCTGTAAGTCATTCACAGGTTATCATCATTCCTTTATTTTTCTCTTAGAACTAGCAGAAGCAAATCACTACTTATGCAGTTGAACTCCCTTTGATTAGAGCCCAACTCGTGTTTTCATACATGAACTTCCTTTACCTCCACGGTTACTGATGTATCCCTCCAGACATTTAGAAATAATCATTAATAGTTACAACGGCCAACAAGCACATAGAGTGCATTTTGAGCCAGGTGTCACTCTCAGTGCTTTATATACTCTCTGTGTGTGTATGTACAGGTATGTATTTATTAACCTCATCACCTTGCAGATATGATTCTGTTAGTAACCCCATCTGAAAGGTAAGGATACTAAGCACAAAAAAGCCAAATCACTTGCCCAAGTTCACATAGATAGTGAGTAGCAGAGCTGAGACATCCAGGCCACCAGCCTCCAGAGTCTGTGACAGTTCTCCTCTGTGCTCCACTGCCTGTCGAATTCTCTCTCTCTCTCTCACCAGTTTTAAAATGTAACAGCAGTATAATCAATGGCATGTCTCATTCTGCAATTTGCTCTATTCCCTCAAAAGTTATCTATCTATCCACAGGAACACATAGCAAGCTAATTTCTTCCTTTTGACAACTCTAGAGTATTCCATGAAAAAAAAACATGCTAATTTAATATTTAATCACCTCCTTATTGAGGGGTATTTGAGCTGTTCTAGGTTATTATTATTATTATTATAAATGGTGCTGCAGAGAGCATCCTGGTGCAGACCTCTTTGTCTGTTCAGGAATATGGGAGAGGCCGCTGGAATCAAGAGGAATTTCCTTGTAGTGCTCAGAAAAGAAGTTGTGTTCACATTTCCTTAGATACTACTAATACATTCTCCAAAATAGCTATATAACACTCCCTTTTTCCCCTGAAACTGGAATTTTAAAATATGACAAACATCTGTCAAGGGTATCTTGTTAAATTGGTAGAGGAGTTCACAAGTTTACACAATGAAGGTCAAAACTTGAAATAGTTATCCCTCACAATGTGAGGCCTTGAGAGAGGTTTTTCTGTTTGTTCTGCCCCCTTGCTTTTGGCCTTCATGATAGAAATATACGGTGTGGCTGTCAAATGCGTTTGGACCTGTTCCCCTTTGTTCCTTGCATTCTCTCCTGATGCTAAGAGTGCTGTAGGAATGTTTGGAGAGCCTCTGGAGGAGATTCTTCTCAGTTTAACTTAGTTCAAGGGATGTAGAGCATCACCGTCCCTTTCCCCTTTCCGGAATATAAAAGAGAACCCTTGTTTTCCTGTATGTAATTCTGCAAATAATCTAAATGACTCCTTTCAAAGCCAAAACGTCTTAATAAACTGACACCCCTCGCCTTTCTGTGGGGCTCAAGCATTAATTAGTTCAGGAAATCAATTCTTAAAGCAAAGAACATGTCTCCCCCAGAATCCACTAATCTATTAATGAAAGGCTTGTCTTTCTGAGATTGTAGCCAATTTGTTTGTTTGTTCTCTGGTTCCACTCCCCCCACGAAGGAGTGATATATGAACTAGGCCTCTAAGCACCGTGTTGGCGAGGAAGTGGCCCGTGACATGGCCACTGTATACTCCCATCACTGCCGCGTACATTTGTCTCCACCCCTCCCTCTGCAAACAACACAGCACAAACAGACACTTCCCATGCTGAGACATTTGTCATATCCGTCCAGTCTTTTAAGAGAGACAACTTGAAATCAGGTCTCCCCCAGACACCTTTTTGAGAGGGATCTCATCAGTTTCTCAGCAGAGAACTCTTCTAAGGGGTGGGAACCACAGCTCACCTTTCATGACTGAGTCTCCACAGGCGTCCTTGTGACTGGTAACCCACCTTTCCTAACAACGAGCCTCTGAACAAACCAAAAGTGTGACACACTCGCAGTCCGGATTTTCACTCTGTTTTTGAATCCTGTTTGTGTTTTTCTTCAATGCAGCAAACAGTTGTCGCTTTCAAAAGACCTTGTATTTAAGCAGTCCTTCCCCTTGTCTCCATCTGGCTGGCCCAGTTTCCACAAGAGGATCTTTGGATTGTGCCCCCTTTTCTTTCTTAAAGTATTGGCCTCCCTGAGATCACCCCTGCCTTTCCCATCCAGACGACGAGCCACATAAAGAATGTTTGTCAAACTCCAGTGAACAGCTGTAGCATTCAAACATGACCCCAATGGCTCAGCCTTTTTGATTATTTAATCTGCTTGAAGTCCAGGGCACCAAAATAACACTGCCTTCTTAATCCGGTCGTGGCTCCTGAATTCTGTTGACTTATTAACCATGCTGTGTCAACCCTCATCGAGTTGGAGGGTGCTGGGTGGGGATCCTCGACCTGGGGGGCCTGCACCAGAGGCTGCGGAGTGTGTAATACGAGGACAAATTGGCCTGCTGGAGGCTGCCACGGCTGCACAGTCCACTTCTTTGGTCACTGGAAGCTTATTCAGCCAACATCCATGGGGATTAGCTGTGTTGACAGGGTCTTGATGCCCTGAAATTCATAGCCATGGTTTCCTTTAGTGGACATCACAACCTTCTTTCTGGGGCCACAAATACTTCTCAGCTGCCGGCTTGCTTGTTTGCTAGTTCCCCACCCCCCACCCCCATGAGCTGACCTTTTGGTTGACGTGACTTTAGAAACACTTCTCGATCTTTCATCCTTTCCCTGATGCTGAGGTCCTGGCCCTTTGCTCATTTTTCACATATGAAACAATAAAGCCGCTCCTGTGAGTATCGGGCGTCAGTGAACTGTGACTGTTCTCTAATTGAAGCTTTTGGGAATTTTCCCACCGGGGACTGGAACCGTTTCTTTGAATGTGCAAATCCCCTGCCATTTGCCGAGGCGGGGTTTCAATGCCTGAAGCTGCCCTTCTCTGACATGCCAGAATGCTCCACATACTCCTGTGACTATGGTGTGAGGTCAAACCCTTGCCTTTGTGTGAACTGCAGCCCCTGGCTTCTGGCAGTGTGATTCGGCAGGTGAGTGGGGCTCTGGACGCAGATGATCTGGGTATGGACTGCAGCTCCATCACAGCTGTGTCTCCCGCCAAGTGACTTGCCCACCTGGAGCCCCAACTGCTTGCTTGTTTTCTTGTCACCCAGGCATGGGGATAACAGGTCACCAGACTGTGCCGAGGGTTAGATATGGCAACATGTGTCATGGCCCACTGTCTTCAGAAATGTTCACAATTACCCATGAACATGCCTTCCAGGACTTGTGCGCTGCCAGCCTTTGAAGGGCAACCTTAACCCCAAAGCAGGAAGGAGTTCCTGAGTGCTTGGCTCCGCCTGCCACTCTGATGGTGCAGGGGGGAGAGTCTCCTTAGAAATGGATTGGGGCTATTTCAACAGCATGTACTTTGGGTGCCCCTTCCTCCCGTGGCCATGCCCCTTCCCACTCACAGAACCCAGTATACTCATCCAGCTCTTTCCTGCAAGTCCGCTTTCCCCAGCCTGCCACAGTTTGTCCTTCTCACCAATATTTTTTCAGAATCACAATGGGCAAAAGTCAGACGTAGGTGATGAAGTAGATCAGGTAAAAGGTTTCCTTTTTCTCGTTTTTGTTGTAGAGACAGAGTCTCTACTTTGTCACCCTCAGTAGAGTGCTGTGGCCTCATAGCTCACAGCAACCTCCAACTCCTGGGCTTAGGCGAGTCTCTTGCCTCAGCCTCCCAAGTAGCTGGGACCACAGGCGCCTGCTACAATGCCCAGCTATTTTTTTGTTGCAGTTTGGCCAGGGTCGGGTTTGAACCCACCACCCTCGATATATGAGGCCAGCGCCTTACTCACTGAGCCATAGGTGCCACCTGGTTTCTTTTTTCTTGGCTTATTTTTTTCTGAGACAGAGTCTCACTCTGTTGCCCTGGGTAGAGTGCTGTGGCATCACCATAGCTCACCGCAATCTCAAACTCTTGGGCTCAAGTGATCCTCTTGCCTCAGCCTCCTGAGTAGCTGGTACTACAGACACCCGCTACAATGCCCAGCTAGTTTTTCTATTATTAGTAGAGATGGGGAGGTCCCTCTTTTGTTCAGACTGATCTCAAACTCCTGAGCTCAGGTAATCTACCCTCCTTAGCCTCCCAGAGTGTTAGGACGGTGAATGGTTTCTTAAGAGCTAAGTGGTATCTTCCCTCTTTCCTATTTGTCTTTCTTCAGGTGTAAAGAATTTAATAATTTTTTTTTTTTGAGACAGAGTCTTGCTCTGTCACCTTAGCTAGAGTACCCCGCCATCAGCCTAGCTCACAGAAACCTCAAATTCCTGGGTTTAAGTGATCCTTCTGTCACAGCCTCCCAAGTAGCTGGGACTACAGGTACCAGCCACAATGCCCAGCTAATTTTTCTGTTTTTGTAGTAGAGATGGGGGTCTCAGTCTTGCTAGCGCTGGTGTCAAGCTCCTGAGCTCAAGCTAACCTCCTCCCTTGGCCTCCCAGAGTCCTAGGATTATAGGTATGAGCCACCATGCCTAGCCTTAATAATTTCTTGGTGATACATGACCATCCATGGCCCATGTATGGCATTTAGTTATTAATTCATTATAACATAACAAACTCCTGTGAACCTACTGCTCCCTCTAAGAACTAGAAAATTACCAAAACCTCATATGTACATGTGCCTCTCTTTCCCAGGCATCAGAAAACAGGTTTTGTGAAGGCCAGATAGTAAATATTTTAGACATGGAGGGCTGTATGGTCTGTAGGTTGCAACTACTCGACTCTATAGTTGTAGTACAAAAACAGCCAAAGGTAACACCTCAGCCTTGTGTGTCTATGCTCTGATGACGTCATGTAGAAGAGCAGGTGGAGGACTGGTTGGGCTCACGGGCTTGGGTCTACAAACCTGTACTATTCTGTCCTCTAGTTATTGCTATCATTACCTTATATCTGTCACCCATCCCCAGCTCCTGTGACCCAGCCAGATCATCCACATTTCTGTCTCCTCATCTGTGACCTGGGGGCATTGGATAGGATGGCCTTTAAGTCCCTCTTATGTCTAAAACCTTGTCATTGTGGTCAGGAAGCGTAATGAGCTTGAAAGGCCCTGTATTTAACTTATTTGAGGAAGGCTTGAACCGACAGAATTTTAAAGTCTCTTTTGGTTATAGTGGAACTATTTAGCTGTGTCCTGCAAGATCCCTCCTAGGGATCAGGTCTCTTAGACTCAGAGACCTGAAGAAGATGACTCCAGCCCAGGTGACCACGGGAGGCCAGCGTACCTGCAGAGGACTGCAGGCAGTCAGGGCAGCTCTGGTCACAGCCAGGCTGTGCAGCAAAGTGGACAAGCACAATTTTGTGCTGCTTATCCCCTAAAGCTGTGTGTGATCCTGGACAAATCCCAGGCACGTGCTCTGAGCCTCACCTTCCTAGCTGTAGACACAGATGATACCCACCTCACAGGGGCTAGGGAGGATCAAGTGCATAGCTCAAGTCTGGTGGAGCAAATGATCAAAAGTGGCACCTTCTGCAGTGGTGTGTATTTGTAGACCTCAAGGAGTCTGAGCTGCCTGCCCCCATCTAACTCTGCAGGCTCAAGAAACCCCACAGCCCAGGGGCTCCTGGGAGCAGCTGCTTACTGCCCAAGGGGCATCTTCGGTTCTGTTTTACTCCTGCTGACTCTAAGGGCAGTTAAAAGATGGCAGTGCACACATGGACTGGAAGGCTCCTGGACGCATTGAAGGGCTTTGGTTGCGAAAGCTGATTGATTTATTCCATCTGACCTCGGCCAAGAGAACAAAGGGAGGGTGTGTGATATGCATGCTAATGTGGGCAGAGCCTTTCTCCCGCCCTCCCTCACTCTTTCCCATGGTGAGCCAGATCCAAAAGGTGGCAAGACAACTATAAAGAGTAACAAGGAGAGATGCTAAATGTCAGCTAAGAGCTAAGGCCAAAGCCATTCCCTAGAAGGGAGGACTACACAGTGAGGGGTTCCTGGCACCATGTCCTAGCAGGACCCCAGTTTTCCACATGGAAACTATTATGACAGCTTCAGATACACCCCCAGAGTAATACTGTGGTTATCATCACGTTCAGATTTCAAGAATATCCCAGCTTCTAAGATGTACTCTTTTGCCCATTTTAAGTCAGAGTGTTTTTTAATATAAGTAGGCCTATTTAAAATTTCACTTCCCATGAATTAAAAAAAAATGAATAACAATTATTAACCCTTAAAATTGATGATGTGTTGAAAGCCAGCATGTAATAACTCATTCTCCCGGCCATATTAGATAGCTATTTAAAAAGAATAAGTTAGAACTAACCATACCTATCTGGGAGGATTTTCATAATAAATTGTTAAGTGAAATGAAGCAATTTGAATAGCAAGTATGTTGTATAATCCCATTTATTTTGCAAAAAAAAAAAGTTATAGGAGGAATTAACCTATAATGTGCATTTATTTGTCTGAAGCAGGAATTAGTAGGAAAGGGCAGTCACCAAACTGATAATAATGATTACTTGAGGGTGGGAGAGGCCGATTTAAGAAAAAGAGTAGAAATTTAACTTTTTCTATTTATACTTTTGCATATTCAGCTTGCTAGAAGACACGAGTTCATTTAAGTAGCTGGTAGAGACACATTTCATTGATTGGAATATTTGAGATGGCTTAGCCTCTAATGACTAGCTAAGTTCTATGTGTAAATGTAATGTGCCTGGAGTTTGTCTCCCCTCACGCCAAGAGGATTAGCCCCACAGGTAAGAGCTGTCTTTCTCTGCCAAGGGGTCTCTGCATGTGACAAGACCTGATCTCAAATATGAGGATTTTCCCCACTGTTCATGTGTGATTTGGTAAAATCATAGCAAAGTGCTCCTCCATCCCTGTCAGCGGCTGCCCATC